GGGGGTGTGTGGGGGTGATTTTGGCCTTAAAAGGAGAACTATGGGGTAAGTGTCTTACCCCATAGTTCTCCTAAGGGTAACGGGAGGACATAAACTAGCGTCCACCTGTCACCCAAAGCTCAGTATACCGCGAGCTGTAGCTCATAGTATACTGAGACGCCGCAGCCGGGACAAATCCCGACATTACTCTCGAGATCCACCCAGCTGTGTGATTGACAGCTCGCTCTGCCTATCTAGAGGCAGAGCCAGCTGTACCCGCCCCCTCCCCTGTCCGTTCCGCCAGTCAGCGCTGGAGGATCGGAGCAGGGAGGAATCCCTGCAGGGAACCATGAGTGACAGCCATGGCTCTCTGCAGGGAGATGATCGAGAGGTGAGCGAACGCCGGTATGTGTTCCCTCGCTTCCCGATCTATTGAGCTGACGTGTGACAGTTTCATTGTCACACGTCGGTTTGAACTATGAGGTGAGTGAAAATCACACCTCATAGTTCTCCTTTAATGTCACTTTAAATGCAGCTAACCTGATACTGTGTATGTCTATCGGTCCTCTTTATCCTGATAGGATTTTTAATTTTTAGAAATCATAATATTGAATGATCATTTATCGCTCTTAATCACTACCCAGCTCCTGCTGCATATGTAGAAGGCAGCACGGAGGGGTTCGGTGAAGGTGGCGGTGAAAGTGTGGCGATGGCGGGTGGGGTCGCCCAGCTCGTCGAAGGACACCTGCCCGGCCTCATAATCCAGGTGAACTCTGAATAGAGGATGGGAGAGTTTGATGTGCAAGTAAATGTACTTTCCTCCATGTAATGCAAACATATTGGTAAAATACCCCCACAGACACCAAGACTTGTCATTATTACCAATATAGGAGTGGTCCCCTTCTCTGTCCATGGTGGGGTAACAGACCCCCACCTTGCACTCCCCCCAGCTTTGGAACTCCACATCCCAGCAATGTCACCCTGCAGAAAAACTCTGACTGCTTAAAACCTGATTAGACCGAAACCTCTCCACGTTTTCAGGCCAGTTCTCAAGCAGTCGTGTTGTGCTCAAGGTTTTAAGGCAAGCTGTTAAATAGATATTATTGGCAGCCGTGTTCCTATCCAGGGAAATGTCTGTAAGCTTGGCAGTAGCAATGCCTCCTGTTAGACTTTCGGCTATAGCGATTACACCCGTGTGTAAAATCTCTGAGATGTGCATTTCGTCCAGGTCACCTACATGATGATGGTCCAGGTTAGAACTTGTCTTGGCCTCCTCTTTATCTCCATCCTTTTGGTTGCACACATCCTCTCTGTTGGATTCCAGTGAGATGGGTAACAGATTGGTCATGTTACACAGATCTTCAATGTGATGGATCTTCTGGGACAGCTCATCCTTCTTTACCTCCAGCTGCCGGATCAGATCTGAGTTGGCCAATGAGATCTGATCAACTTGTGTGGATAGCTCGGCCACTGCTCTTCTCTCTAGAGCTTCAAGTTGCCTCCTGATGTCTCTGCACAGGGCAGCAACTCTCTCTATTACATCGGTTGCTTTTTCTTGTAGGTCTCTCATACCCTCCTGTAGAGTCTGAAGTCTTCCCTCAGCCTCCTCTCTTTCTGAGCTCAGTTGACTCAAGGCATTTGATAGAATCATCTGCCATTTCTTTAGCAGAGGTGTTGCTTCGGGTCCTTTATGTACTGCAGTCATCAGACAGTCAACACAAGTGCAGACAGAGCCCTCGGTGCCGGGGTACTCCGGGATCTTTTGTTGAACTGGGCCATCTTTTTTCTTCCGGGAACATGCAGGATCGATCAGTACATGTCCTGGTGACTTTTGATGGACTCTCAGGTGATTATTGCACAGGAAAGCTTCACAAAGCAGACAGGATTTAACGGCGGGAACAGGAGAGTAAACACAATAAGTACAGAATGTCCAAATGGCTGCATGCTCGTTGGGATGACTTGTAAGCATGCCGTGCGCCATGTTCAGCTCTGTATAATGCTGGCAATCTGTTCTGCACTCTGGACGGGGAGAACCTCCAGACACCACCTCTAGATCAGTACACACCCAGAAGACGTTGTGTCCACACCTCACTGTTATGCTGCTGAACTCCTATAACATCTACAATCAAGGAGGGTGCAGTTCATCGGAGGTATTTTTACAACTGCTTCCGGTCATGTGACATTTGAGCCTATCTCTCCGCCGGTGACTATTAAAGCTGTCTTAAAGGGGAATGTATAACTGATGTATGCAGGGGTGTTCCTACACGTTTCGCCGCCTGAGACCAGGCGGTGCACGTTACGGTGGATGGACTTTGCTGGCGGTGCACATTACCAGAGCAGGGAGTAAAGAGCAATGTCCCCAGTGGGCATTGAGCATCATATCAATTCCATACCTGTAGGCCAAGCATGACTTCCACAAAGCCTGGCAAATCAAAAGTAGCATCTTGAGCGATCCGTGCCGCCCTATGTATAAACTGGGATGGTTGCCCCATTAGGCGTACTCCATCATCACAGAAAGGAGCGTGAAATGAGCGCTCGCCCTCGTCCATAAATCCGCACAGGCGCAATGTCAATGTCTCGGCTCTACAGGTATGGAATGAAACTGATGACTGCACTGTAAATCGTATTAGAGATGTGAACTAACCCATCAGCCACGTTACTCAATTCTATCTTCATAACATATAAATCGGTTAAAAGTTTCAAAATTAAAAGCGTGTTTTTTTTTGTGTGGTTTTCATTTTAAATATCTTGTGTTTATAACCTGGAGGAGCCTTTCACCATTTATAAAGGGTTATCAGTCTCACAGAAGCCAGTCTGTCATCATTTCCCAACACAACTTGGGATGTTTGAGGGTTAATGGAATTTGCTTGCATCATAAAACTCTGCAGCCTAACTTGTTTTCAAAAGGAGGAAGAGTGCCGAGGGCTGAGTTACTTCCTGGGGTAGACAATGGCGTCTGCAGAACTGAAAGCCGAGCTCCTTTGCTCCGTCTGTATGGAGGTCTACACGGATCCAGCGACCCTACCGTGTGGACACAGCTTCTGCCGGGACTGTATTACACAGACATGGGAACATCAGGAGCATGTAAGAAAATACAAATGTCCTGAATGTATGAAGATATATCAGAGGAGACCTGAACTCAAAAGAAACCTGAGGCTGCATAACATAGCAGAGGCCTTTCTACGCAGTCAAAGAGCACAAGAGGAGACTGGGATCTTCTGTACTTACTGCGACTCCTCAGTCCTTGCTGTGAAGTCCTGTCTCAAGTGTGAGACCTCCATGTGTGATGATCATCTCAGGAAACATAACAGGACAGTGCAACACCCATTAACAGCACCGGTTGCTGCTCTGGGGAAGCATGTATGCCCTGTGCACAAGAAGGCCTTAAGTTACTACTGCACTCAGGACTCCGCCTGTATCTGTATCACCTGCCGCCTGGATGGAGGACACATTGGACACCAGGTAGAGCCCGTGGATGAGGCGTCTAGAAAGAAAAAGGAGAAACTGAGAAACCTTTTGCAGAAAGCGAATTCCGAGAGACAGGAGGCTGAGAAAAGAGCCGAGAGTCTGAAGGACCATAGACGCAACGTAGAAGAAAAAACAGCATCCGTAATTGTGAAGGTCGTCGCCTTAATCGGCGGAATGAGAAGGCAGCTGGATGAAGTAGAAAATAAAGTGCTGAGTGACATCTCCAGGCAGCAAGAGCAGATCTCCCTGTCAGTCTCTAATCTGATCCGGCAACTGGAAATGGATAAGAACAAGCTGGTCCAGAAGATGAGTCAGATACAGAAGCTATTGGACACGACCGATCTATTGTCTTTCCTACAGGATGCAGACAGAGGTGACTTTTTCAAGGAGACGGATAAGGAAAGAGAGGAAGATCGTGACAGATACGAAGATGACATGGACGATGGTGTGATCTTACAGACCTTGTGCACTCACCTGTATGGGATTTTACCCGGCTCAGACGTATGGTTCTCCGTGCAGGATCCCTCAGATATATTACTGGATGTCACCACTGCCGGTAATAACGTTGATATAGCAGATCATATGAAAACTGCACGCTATTCACAAGAGGACCAGAAGTACCCCCAAAAGCTGGAAAGATTTGAGTGTAGCCAGGTGATGAGCGTCAGGAACTTCTCCTCAGGGAGACATTACTGGGAAGTGGAGGTGAGCTCAGCAGGGTGGTGGATGGTTGGGTTGTGTTACCCCAGTATAGAGAGGAGGGGTGCATGCTCGTGGATTGGAAATAACAAGTCCTGGTGTTTGTACAGGTCTAATAATGTGTATTTTGTAGCTCACAACAGCAGAGCTATACCGTTGCCTCAGAAAAGTTCAAGTAATAGGCTGACAATTCATCTGGACTGTGAGGCTGGCCGACTGACCTTTTACGAGAGGAGGAATCCAATGAGACACTTACACACATTCACCACCACCTTCACAGAGCCAATTTGTGCTGCGTTCAGCGTATGTAAGGACACAATTTATAATGGAGATGGATGGGTGAAAATCATTAGCTCTTCCAGGTAAAAGAAGATGCTGAATATCTAGAAGTTCAGTGAAATTATTGAACATGCTCGATCAGTAGCCTTGCACTGACATAAAGAGGAGCAGTAAAGTGGGATCACTGGGGAACTACGAGGCAGGAAGGAGAGCCTCTATAAGTCATGAGCAAATATGTTTTAAGAGGGTCCCAGAATGCAGGCAAATAATGACTGTGATAAATGCCTACCCAACTTCTTGCTTTTCTATAGGCCAGGGACTAACCATAAGCTGCCAGATAAAACATTGGTCCTATGTATGTAGGCAATGCTTTATTTTTGTGCCCTAGGGTCCTGATTGCTGGAACATGGGCCACCTCTTGAGATTTCAGAGCAAACTCCAGGGGCTAGAATTCCAGACAACCCCCAACTCCTTTGACTCAGACTAGAAAAGAGCGGAGCACATCTGTTAGTAACGGGCACCCAGGAGGGAGAAGATAGCCGGGAGGGCTACAGACTCAAACAGTACTCTGCTAAAGTGGGGCCAGATCTTCCTTCTATGAGCTGGGCTGGTCTTCATGATGAGAACAGAACTCGGTGTGATACGAGCTTTGATTTATGAATCTTATTAGTTTACAAGTACAGGCAGTCCCCGAGTTACAAAAATCAGACTTACATACGCCCCCCCTACTTACAAACAGAGGCTATTACTGTACAGCAGGGGATCCCAGACTGCATCCAAACTGTACCGCGCAGCATTTCAGTCGTTGTAATGCTACCGCGCTCATGCCGACGAGGGGTGCCCGCCTTTCTGGGTCTGGTTCGTAGTACATTACAGGAAGTTGACTCTTGTTAGATGTGCGGACGAAGGGTGCCCGCCTCTTCTTCCGAGTCACTGTTTTTTTTTTTACTGCTGTCAATATCCTCATTAGAAAGATTTAAATCTCACTTCCTGTCCTTCAGCCAACAGGAAGTGAGAGGGAAATCTACCCCGAGGAAGGGAAAATCACTCCTGTAAGAGTTATCATGTGAAAAAGGCATCTCCACTGAAGCGTTATCACCAAACCTTGTTTCCATCACAACCCAACATTTTTTAAATCCAATTGTCACAGGGGCAGAGAGTGAGGTGCAATCTTCTGAACAGCAAAAAAAACGTTACGGGGGGGGGGG